TTTAGCCAGTGATTGCTGTATAACAAATTACCCCAAAACTGAGTGGCTGAAAACAACACTTATGATCTCATAGTTCCTGTGGGTTGAGAATCTGGGCATGACTTAACCGGGTCCCTGTCTCATTTCAAGACTTGATTTGGAAAGGATCTGATTTTGAGTTCACTCATGTGGGTAGTGGCAGGGTTCACTCATGTGGGTAGTGGCAGGATTCAGTTCCTTGCAGGATGTTGGCCAAAGTCACCTTCAAGTCCTTGCCATGTGGGCCTGTTCACATACACCAGCTCGTGGTGTGCAGCTTGCTTCATCGGAGTGAGCAAGCCAGAACGAGAGAGAGAGAGAGAGAGAGAGAACAAACATGGTGGCAGTCACAGTCCTTTATAAGCTGATTTCATCACTTCTGCCTATTCTATTAACTAAAAGCAAGTCACTAGGTCCAGCCCACACTTAAGGGGTAGAGATTACACACAGACCTGAACAGGAGGAAGGGATCCCTGAGACCTATGCAGAGGCTGCCTACCACAGTGAATGAAATGGTTATGTTAATCTATGGAGAAATCGGGGCATAGATTTCTTATTGTCCTGAAAATGTGTCCCTTATAGTCATAGGACTTTTAAGATAGCACAATTTCCCTTGGACCACCTATTTTGCCTGAAACAAATCTCTGTTTCCCATTGTCTTCTGCACATATGCACCAAAAAGAGACCATCTGTCCTCTCTTGCTTTCCAAGTGACAATCTACTTATGACTCAAGACACAATTCCTGCCTTTCTGGGATCACTTCTAGGAGATAAATGTACAAATAAGGTCAAATAATGTCAGACTGTGAAATGTTAATGAAATATAATATGCAAGGAAGAGATTTCTATGAGATTGAAATCTTGGCAGAAGTGGTGACAACCATTGGAGTTGGGGGAAGGATATTCTAGCCTCAAGGGATGGAATTGGAACGGCTCTGAGCCACCAGAACCTGGGTCCGGTCTGGGAGTGACTATTATTTGCATATGGATGCAGCAGGAGCCCCAGAGTCCCTGAGAGAAATCAATGCTCTGGAAAGTGGAGCAGGAATTGAAGGTTGAGACCAGAAATGCCATCTGGGGGCATTTGGACTCATTTTGTCTGCAGTAAGAGCCTCTGAAAACAAAGCAATCTTGTGTTTCAGATAACTCTGGTGGCCATATGGAAAGCAGATTGTGGGAAGGGACCAGCAAACGTCAATTAGCAAGCAAATAGTCCAAATAAGAGATGATGAACACTTAAACCTTGGTACAAGCTGTGGAAATAGAGATGAGGAGACAGGATTTATGACTCTATCTTTTTCACTGAATATAATATGCCATCAATTAGAAGACACCATTTTTTGAATTATAACTAATGAAAAATAAAGCTGTCAATTAAGTGATGACATCAGCAATGGAAAGATGCATTTTGATTTCAGAGGTAAAAAAAGTGTGCATTGTAAAATTAATGAAATATGATCATCTTAGGAAGATGACACCTACATTTTAGACTTGAACAACTTGGAGGATAGTGATGCCATTAATAGGAATCATGGGAGCAGGGGATGAGAAATGGATTCCAAGAGAAAAGATGAATTCTCTTTTGGATATATTTAAGAGATATTCATGTACAGATGTCTGGCAGACAATGGAAATGTTGGTTTGGAACTCAGGGAAAATGTTATAAAAATTGGAGTAAGTTAATGTGTGGATTATTTTGAAGTTAAATCCTTATTCTTAAGTAAAAATGAGGACACATTATTTCTTTTTCTATAACCACAATCTTTGAAGCTCCACCTCCCAATTTAAAGAGGTTATCTTTGGAGTGTTCGATCTACCTTGGCAGAGATGGGGTGGTGGGTGATGGGAATGGAAGGGTGACAAAGGAGCTTGAGACCACAGGAGGAGTCATTGGCAGTTGCACTTAAACATGAAAATCATGACAGATAAGGACTTAGATCTTTATATAATGACAATTCATTGAGATATAATATTCAACTAATCTCATATCCTCTAGCCTTTCTTTATATTCCTGATACTTCCCTGTCTGTACTAGGGAAGTGCATTAGTTTTCTAGGGCTGCCATGAGAAAGTATTAAGGATTGGGTGGTTTAAGCAACAGAAATTTATTTTCTTCCCATTCTGGAGGCTAGACGTCTGACATCAAGGTGTGGGCAAGGTTGCTTTCTTCTGCGGCCTCTCTCCTTGGCTTGCCGATGGCCATCTCCTCCTGTGTCTGCCCTCTGTGTGTGTGTCTGTGTGGTAATCTCCTCTTCTTAGAAGGACACCAATCATATTGGATTAGGGCCCACTCTAATGACCCCATTTAACAAAATGACCTCTTTAAAGATCCTTTCTTCAATACAGTCACATTTCTGAGTCACTGGGGGTTCTGACTTCAACATATTAGTTGTGGGGAGCAGGGGTGGGGGAGACACAATTCAGTGGGTAAGCCAGCCAAGCACTTAAACTCTTATTCACATGTGTTATGAATGCCTAGACCTGCTAGCTGAAGGCTAATATCCTCTTCATGGACCACAAATTATTTTTCCAAGCTTGTTTCCATAATTATTTTGCGTCTCTGCAGAGGTGGGAGGTTATATATAGCAGTGCTGTAAAACCTTTTTTTTCTAGCTTTTGTTCCTTCCTGTCTCAGGGAAGGGGAAACATTCTTTGAAGAAAGAAATGACTTGTTCTCCCTTATCTTTCATTGAACAACATTCAACAGAGTTTGTGACATTACATCAGTTCCTCGCTTTTTCCCCTTGGGAACAGCCCTTCAATTAGGAACTGTGAGGAAAAATATACATAATAGCAGGAAATACATATTTCACTCTAAGTCTTATGTCTTTCTTTTTCATGGTCACCTAAAGAAGACATTTCTGTGGAACTGATTTTTAGCATGTGCTCCAAGCCCAAGGTTGTAAAGATTCTCTTGTTTGGCAATGGGAACAATTTTCCTCTAATACCAGAAAGCATTTTATGAATGGGTAAGACCAGGATGAAGCAGCACTTCCCTTAAAATGTGCCATAATCTGAGATGGTTGCTCTAGGATATTTGTCTTGGCAAGCATTTCAAAAGCACTTGCTAAACACCTCCCCTGCTCTCCAATAATTAACTGGCTTCCTGCTAGAATTTAGGTCTCCCCTCATCTCAATAGGTGCAAATATTAGTTTTGCTCTCTCATTCTCTCCACAATATAAAATACTGTATTTCCTGAGTAAATTGTTTGGCATTTAATTTATCTTTTATAAAATTTAAATTTATTCAGTTTAAAGTTTTGATTTTACGTAAATAATTTTCACGTGTGTGTGTGTGTGTGTGTGTGTGTGTGTGTGTGTGTGTTAAAGGATCATTGATATAATGTTATGAGAATAGTACTTCACCTTAGTGGTCTTCCTCCCCAAAACCCAGAATGCTGGTCTAACCAGGAGGAAAATAATCAGAAAAATCCAAATTGTGATACAAAATACCTGAGCAGTGCTCCCAAAAACCATCGAGGTCATCAAAACCAAGGAAAGTCTGAGAAACAAGGGAAGTCCATATAATGCCATATCCTGGAAGGGATCTTGGAACAGAAAAAGTGCATTAGGGAAAAATGAATGAAATCCCAATGAAACACGGAATTTAGTCAATAGTGGCACACCAGTGCTTGTTCATTCATTGTGATAAATGTACCACAGTAATGTAAAATGCAGGGAAGTTATACTAGAACTCCCTGCACTATCTGCAATTTTCTGTAAATCTAAAAACTATTCTGAAATTAAAGAAATTACTTAAAAATAGAATGATTACAGATAAAGACAAAATAGAGCCATAATGCAAGGGAACTATAAACTAGGCGAAGAAACAGAGGTTATTAATAAATATTAAATGTCAGCCTACCAGTTGATGTATTGGTATCAATAAATGGCAGGATGCCAGTGAGTCCTGAGGCACATCAATCTAATGAACTTTTATAAATGATGAATTGGTTGTAAACACTGTGTTTTATAGTTTTTGGAAATTCCAAACGGTAAATCCGGCCACGGGGTTTCTGCACACATATTTCAGGATCCCCATTTTTAGAATCTGCACAAAGAAATATTTCATGTCCTTTAGGGAGGTTTAATAAAAAAACAACAGGTGGGAAATGGGTTTTGCAGTAGCATGAACGGTCATAACCATAAATACTAGGACCTCAGAATTAAACTGGCGGAGGATTGTAAACACATTAATCACCCCACCGTGCTGAGATTCCATTCTCAGATGTCATCTCAATTTCAGGCACAAAGAGGAAATGCCTCCACTTTAATTCAGAACACTGAATTTGATATGACGATCCTTTATTTTCATGAGGATTCATGGAGGTAGTTCACCAGTGTCCTCATCTATAAAACAGGATAAACCTCATCTCAGTAGGGTGGATTAAATGAGATACTATATGTAAAATGCCTAATATGGTGGACAGTACATAGTATGTTTCCCACCAATTGTAGCTACTCTCATTATTTATTTGTTCATGATTATTATGATGGCTTTAGAATTTCAGAACTAGAAGCTATTTAGAGATTCATCGTTTTACAAACGAGGAAACTTGGGCCCCAGAAGGCAGTAACTTGCCTGGGGTCATGCAGCAACTTTGTTCCAGAGGTGGGGCTTGAACTCTTGTCCCTCAGATCCTACTGGGGGCCTATTCCAGACCCAGATTTCCCAGTAGTATTGGGTGCCTACCACACGCCAGGAGCTGGCACAAATCTCTCCTGCAGAATTGCTCTCGGTCATCTCTCCCTCTTGGGGATTCTTTCCCCCTCCTCAGAGGGAGCAGAACTCTCCGCCTCCCTCCCCAATAGGTGTGGCAATCACACTCTCTTCCAGCTCGTTTCCTTCCACTGCATCAGCACTTTAGCACTTCTGGCTGCTGCAGCCGGCTCCTGGGCAGAGCAGCGGTTGCTGCTGCTGCGCTGAGGACTGCTTTGCTAAGGGAAGGTCCCAGCGGCTGTGCGGGGGGGCTGCCTCTGGGAGCTCACCAGGAGAGATGCCCCACCCCACTGGCTGCCGGTGTGGGGACGCTGGAGTTGAATGTGGACTCTGAGGACGTGCGGGGGTAAGTCACATCCATCACGGAAAAAATACACGCTTATAGGTGTCCATTCGGGAAGGAAGTGATTTAGATTTTAACACCTGATTAAAGCGAAAAGTTACTTTTTATACACTCATGGTATGGCTAAAACCATCTTGAAACTGTTTTTCTATGGCTTTCACCTTGTCCCCTGATATGCCTACTACCTGCTGCTTTTATTATTCTTTTTTTTATTCTTGAAGGAAAGCATTGTGTTATTGGGCGGGGGGGGGGGGGAGGGGCTGTCATGGAAGCCACACAGACACATTGGCTTAGTCGAAAGAAAGAGGATTTTCAAGAAGGCTGTGAATTATTCCCACAGTCCTCTGCTCCTCAGCAGTTCACGCATCACGGGGAAACGTGACTGCATGCATCTCAGGTACTGTTTCACCCGAGCCCCCCTCCGTCTGCTTTTGTTTCCACCGCCTCCTGTGCTTTCTAACAAAACAAACAAATACAAAATCCTAATTTCTTAAAATGAGGAGGCAAAGAATTGAGGAAGAAAACTGGGGCGGGAAGGAGGAGGCCGTGAATCTGGGTTCAAGGGCTGCACCTCCCCGCGTAGCCTGCTTCACCTTGTCCTTCAAAGTCAGTATTTACTGCAGGCCGGGGAGGGGATGGAGGTTATTTCTGGGCAATTCTGTAATAAAGCCCCGTCAGACCTGTCCAAATGCTAAACGCTTCTCGACGCTGGTGATCGAGGGGAAGGAAATTTTCCCGAGTCAAATTTATGAGGCTGAACACCAAGCTGAAACAGAGCCTCGCAAATCCCCATGGCAAAATGATTCATCTTCCTAGAGTCGGAAAATCTATTTTTATCACCTTTATTCAGCCAACTCCTCGTTTTTATTCCCTCACTGAGCGATTGCTATTTCCTTCATGGTGCTGCATAAACCGTGGTGTCTCAGGCATCTGAAACCTCCCTCCAGGTTGTCCCCAGCGGGGCTGATCCGCAGCCCCCGGAGAAGGGGATTGTTCTGCACGGGTGGGTTCTGCGCAAAGTGAAGGTCAAATCAGAGGCTGCACCCTTCAGCCGCCTGCCTTTTACTCAGGAATTCTGCCTGGGGGTGCGTGCCATTGTGCTCTCCTGACAGAGTGTAAGGTGTATAGAGGGTGAATGGTGACCAGAGCTCAAGATCTTTACAAGGGTGGGAAGAAGGGGCAAGAACATACCACTCTCCCTATGGCTGGCCTTTTCGACTGTTAAGCAAGGCACAGACAAGTCGCCAGTGCACCTTCTCCATCTAACAGTAGAGCAGAGAGGGACTTCCAGACACCATTTTATCCATTTCCCTGGTTCCACTGGGGCCTCTCTATGCCAGTCCAGGCTGCTGCATATTCCTGCTGCCTCTTTCTTGCTAGAGTCCCATGGAATGCTGAGAGGAGTGGTGATTGATTTCTATAAGGAAATTTAAAAGATAAAGATAAGGAGGAGAAGCATTTTTACTGAATTTCCTTGTCTAACATTCAGCATGCTTACTGTTTGGTAGATACGGCAATAGCAACTAGGAAAGCAACAGGAATGTTAAATATATAAGAGCAGTGTTCATGGCATCTGCTATATAATAAGCACTTGGTAAATATTTTGGCAGGATACCGTTCCTCATAGTCCCCAGTTAATCATTTTAAGCGTTATCCTGCAGGAGGAAGTGTTCTGTGGGGGTTAGGAGCTGGCATTGCGGAGTCAGGTGGCCTGGGTTCAAATCCTGGATTTGCAACTTCTTAGCGGGGTGCTCTTTGGAAAGTCACCCAATCATTTGAGGCTTCTATTTCCTCATCTGTAAAGTGGGAATAATATAGAAACTACCTTATATGGTTTTCATGGAGAGTAAATTAGTTATTATAGGTAAAGAGCCTGGAATTTTCCCAGTAATGTGGTTCAAGCGATGAAGAGGAGGAAAAGGAGGAGGAGGAGAAAGGTAGCAGAGGAGGGGAGAGAGGAAGGGAGGATTGGTTTTTGGGATGAATTTGGGATTTTTGAGATTTGACCCTGTCTTTCAGGTTTCATGATTCCGATGATTTACAACCCTTCCTTTGTTCAGTGGAGAAAATAATTTGAGAGTAAAAGAATAAGATGGAATTTAGTGGGGGGAAGATTATTCCAATCTCTCAAAAAATGGTTATTGAGCTCCTACTTCATGCCAGGCACTAAACTACACATTGTGTATTTAGTGTTAAAACAAACAGTCATGATCATCATTTTAATGGACTGAGTGAATGAGGGATGAGGAAGTAGGGAGAGTATGTGGTGGCACACAACTCTACAGCACTATAAAGGCAGTGAGAGATATGCAGACATGGGCATTGGATTGACCCATGAAACTGGAGGGGTAGTCAAAGCAGGAATGAGTATAATCAACCTCTGAAACACAAAGGAGCATGGTCAAGGAGTAAGAGAATGAGAGAACCAAAGCAGTTGTTATAATGATCTATATACATAAAAGGCTCATATGCTAAGTGGCCGACCATCCGACTGGTCACTATGATGCGCACTGATCACCAGGGGGCAGAGACTCAACGCAGGAGCTGCCGAGCTGCAGTGACTTGGCAGCGGTGGTTCTCGGGTGATGCACCCCAAAACCAAAGAGGGGGGAGCCCAATTCTTCATGGGGCCATACGATTCCACCTTCGGCCACGGGTTATGTTGTTTCTGGGACACTGTCGGCCACAAATCTGGTTTACTGCACACTTGCGTTTGTGTTCCACACCCTGTATGACAGAAACTTTGCAGAGTGCCCTCTCCCACTCCAGGGCCCCTCTGGGGATGTCGGAGAGCCAGTTTCAGTCGGATCCCTTCAGGCCAGGCCAAGGGACCTCACCTGCTGGAGGGACCCTGCTCATTCCACAGATGCTGGGGAGGGACCGCAGGAGGTTGGCTCCAGGGTGTGTCCAGCCCTTCTCGCCCAGTCCCTCCCCACCCCACCAGCCACCTTCTAATTAATTTCCTTTCAATGTGCACAAATCCGTGCACTGGGTCACTAGTATGACATAAGAGCCATTAGATACTAAGAGTTCCCAAGCCCAACTCTGAGACTGTAGATTGAAGAAGGCTGGATTTTTTTTTTTTGAGGTCTTCCTCTCTTTTCAGCTCCTGGTACTGCCATGCAAGTGGGCTTCTGTTTGATCCTTTTCAGAGCCCAGACCTCACATCTCTTGAAAATACAAGGATGTATGTGAGCTACTGATCTTCATCAGTTGTGCTGGTCTGTAGAACATGCTGATATTTTAATTTGGTGAATCCTTTTTGTCTTTGGAGAACTTCAGCAGTGACCTGTACATGCCCTTCCCACCATTCCTCACCTGTGCCAGATCTGTTTCTGAGTGGCAGTTCTGTCCTGAGATGTCTTCTAGCCAAGACCCTGTGAAGTCACCCGTGTGAATTGCGGGATGGAATAATTAATACATTTTTATTCTACTCTTCTCCCAGTGGTTGGATTGGATTCCTGGGGCTCTGTTTTCTGTAAGCAGTCATTTCTTCCACGGCAGCCATCTGTGAAGAAACAGAGCTTACGGAATGACTGGGGCATGTTTTACATGGCTGCGCTCGGGTCCTTCTGTTTAATTCTCATGTCAGCTTTGGCAGTGATTTCTGTGGGTGGTGCTGGAGAATGACTTTGGTAAACAGCCCCCTGACTGTTGTTGGCCAGGTCCCTGTAAATACCATAAAGGATACAATTTGAAAAGTCACTGAGGTTTCCTTGCCCTTCCCAGGGCTGATCCCAGGAGTGACATAGGAAAACCTGATCTCAGCCATAGTGTTGTCGGAGCAGCGGCCAGGAATTGGTCTGGGTTTGCTGGCTTCTGCTTGGCCTCTCTTTGCTGGGGTGGACTTCTGACTGCATCGAGTTTCCTCTGATTAGCATCCTGGGATTTTCACCCGAGCCCTGAATCCGCTTGGAGTCTTTTTTGGTGGACTCCCATTTCATCTTCCTCATTTCTGTTTCGATTTTTCTTCACTCCCAGAATAACTAACCAGCCTTAGATGTTCCCAATGTATTGATGTTGATCGAGGCTGCTGCTGCTACATTTTGCTTTTAGGACTATGGACAGGCTTAGGAAATTCTTGGATATGTGTATGTATAAAGGTGACCTATTTTCCCTGTTTCTCTCTTCTTCCATTTCCATAAAACAAATATTTGTATTGCATGTCAATTGCCACAGTTGTATCTAGAAATCCATCCCATCACAGTAGCTTGCATTCTATTATGCTGTGGACAAACCTGACCTAGGTGTTGTCTTCAGTCAGAGGACTACCTTAATCACTGCAGTGGGAGAGAACTTACTGTAGGTGCCTATATGAATTAACTCCAACTTCCTGAAAAAAGCACTCAAAGATAATATAATATTCCTCACATTATTGCTAAATAATTTATCTTTTTAGAAATGCTTTTCAATGAATGCTTTTTGATGCTGGCAAAACTGACTACCAAATATAATGGTGAAGGGATCAGTTGATTTTCAAGAACTAATGAACTGGCTACCTTTGGTACCATTGTCATGTTTTTTGACAACTAATATGTTGGTTCAACGGAAGATAAAATGTGTGATTTGTGAAGAGAAATTTGTGATTTGTGATGGAACTGTGTCTAAGAAATGCAGCTGTTGATTTTGTTGGTGGATCCAGCATTGTCCCTAAGGCAACTGTTGTCCTTAAGACAGGATGTCTAACTCGGCTAAAGTGTTTACTACAAATATACACGTGGTATATTTGTATGTATTTTAATAGAAATATTTTAACCTATGTTTATAGATTTAAATATAAAAACTGAAATATATGGAATAGGTTTGAGTGTGGTACTAGGGACATCTTTGAGCTACTGAATAGACAGTGTTTTGTCCCTAAAAGAACTTGTATTTAAGAAAGTTGAATTTTTTTCATGAAATTTATTCAAGCAAGACAGCAGGCCAGGTTTGCTATCTATGAAAAGTATACTTCTGGTTCATTCTGTCCCAAATTAAAGCTTTATTTTTCTCTGAGCACAGGC